AAAACCAGTTTATCCCACAGAGAGGCTGTGGCTTCCTTACCCTGGCTGGTTAGGAGTTCCTGAGGAGCTGATGGAGCACCTGGCTGCAGGTCCTGATTCCTCCTTGCTCGCTCTCAGCCAGAGCTGAAGCTGGGCCAGCGACGCCAAGCAGTGAGCAGCTGTCTGAGCTGTGTTCGGAGCAGTTTTCTCCCAGGGATTAGAGTGATTGGGGTTTCTTAAGGTAAAGACAGCGTGCAAAGAAAAAGCAGCGTGTCTGGGGACAGCAGAGCTCATCTGCAACCTGCTCTTAACCGCAGCTTGTTCTACACAAAGAGTTTTTGTTGGCACGTCACCTCTGATCCAGCCACCGGTCCAGAAGGATGGGAGCTCGCCATGTGGGGCTGGAGGGTGGGGTTGGGGTTGTTTTTTGTGGCTGATGGGACTGCACAGGAGGTTTTGGCACAAGCATTTCTGCAACCCGAGCCCTGGGGCTTGCTCTGAGGCCCCAGGTAGGACACTGAGGGTATTTTGATGTAGCACAATGTAGCTGGATGAATGTTGGTGTCAGGCTGTTATTTCTGTGTGGTGTTGGCTCATTGGACTATAGTGTGGAAATCTCTGATTAACTTAAACTAGACCTGGGAACATCTCCCATGGTGGAGGTCCCTCGCTTCTCTTTTTGGCCAGTATGGGCTGATCTTTTTCTGTGTTTTCCTGTATCTCCCTAGATTTTAAGGGAAAGGAATGCAGGTGCAGTGCCCTGAGAGGGAACCATGACGTGGTCTGGCCAAGAAGGGTATGGGGACCCATTCTCTGTTGAATGCAGGTGTAGATACCACAAAGAGCTGTGTGAGATGCTGCAGGCACGCTTTTCTTCTAGGAAAGCCACCTGGGGTGAAGGAATAACAAAACTCCTCTCACAGACCATGTCTCATGGAGGTGAGACCCAGAGGGATCTTCCCTGGAGATCACAGGCTGATGTTGCTCCTCTGGGCTGTGTAGAAGTGGGAGAGCCCAGGACACTGTGCAGGATTATGGTCTGGGGGACATCAGGTTTGCACTGTTGGCTCTGCTTCCGTGTCCCTTCCGATCCCACTGCAGTCCCAGAGCTGAGCTGCTCAGGTTTTCATGATCCCAGAAAGGAAAGAAACAAATCTCTTAAACACTGAGCTCTCTACTGGGGTTTTCCTGCCTTCTGCCCACCCTGGTGGATGTTAACAAGCTAGTAGATCTAGACCTGCTGTGCCTTGATAGAAAGATTTATTTTTAGAGCCTTGATATTTAAAATGATCTGTTATAATTTCATGCTTAAATAACACTAAATAATGTTCCCTGTTTGCACAGTGTAATTGGAAGAGGTGAATAAACCAAACAAACCAGCTATGACTGAGCTTCCTTAGTATTTTCAGCGTGAAACAAAGAGTAAAAAACAAGGCCTTGGCCAATTTAACACTTTTGGGGTATTTTCAAGTTGGCATTTCACTTTTTCATTTTCACAGGCCAAGAAACACGAGAGTTCTAAAGAGCCAGTGGCTTCTTGCCAAAGAAAACTCAGTTGATCTTAGATTGGAAAAAAAAAAAATGAAAAAAAATTAGAAGTGAACTTATTGTTTGTTTTTTAGGAACTGGCAGGGCTAATGACTCTGGAGGTGCCATGGGATTTTCTGCGAGCGCAGAAAAGGCTTAGAAAATATTCAGCAAGTTCATTTAGGCTCCTTTCATGCTTCTCAAATCCTGAGGCTCCTTTTATTGCTGCTTTATGTCAATTTGGCACTGCTTGATTTCGCTGCTGCTCTCGACGCTGCTGTGATGGCACTGCCGTGCTGCATGTGGAGCAGGTCCTGCCCTGATCACATCCCTGGCATCCCACATAACCTGCCTGGGCTTTTAGGTGATTGAATTAAAACTCCTGCCTTCAGCTGACCAGGTTTGGGAATAGGAAGTTCAGGCCAAGCTGCGGTTACCTGTGTGCAAAGCCACAGGTGGGTCGTTTAAGCAAAGAGATTTTGTGATTAGTCATGAATGGGTTGTGTTCCCTTCTGGAAAACTGCCATCAGAGAGGGAGTATAGCCCGGGCTGAGGAAGCTGCTGCACATCAGCTCATTGGTGTGTCTTTATCTCCATGCCAGAGTTCAAGAAGCATTTGGACAATGCTCTCAGGCACATGCTGGGATTCTGTGCAGGGCCAGGCATTGGACCTGATGGTCCTCATGGGTCCCTTCTAACTCAGGACTGATTCAGTGATTCTCCTGTTAAAAGGGCATGAGTAACTTTTCCCTCTCTGTCCCTGTGTGTAGATGCCCCATGCACCGTCGTTGCTACAGGTTCAGGCTGTGGCAGTGAAGGTGCTGAGACTCCTTAGCAGCCCTGCATCCTGCTCTTCCCTTTCCCTCCAGCCCTCCCTCTGTCCCACCTGTCCGGGTGTGAGCAGGCTTCCCCCAGCACCTCCCCTCCTTCCAGGCTGGCAAAATCCTTCCCCATCTTCCCCTCCCTCCTCTCCACACAAGCCTCGGCTCTGTTTGTGCCCACATTAGCATTTCTGCTGACTGCAAGGATCGGTTTAATTTCATGGGTGTCATTTCCTTCAAGAAATCTCTCTCTGAGCAGCAGCCCGACGAATGCCTGATAAAACATATTTTCCTACGGTAATGATTTTATGGACCCATAAGTCATGAATTTATTATGATCTCAGCCCCTGCTGCTGATTGCTGTAAAATGCAAAGTAATTAACAGCGAGCGGTAGCAGCTATTCCCACCTGGTAGCGTGTTCTTGGGTACGCTGATGGCTTTGATTAAAGTAATGGCTAAAGTGTACAGCCCGGCTGTAAAATATTAGCATGATTAATGCAGTATCCCAAATAAGAAACAAAACTAATGGGCATGGTTTAAGGAATTAAATATATATATATATATGTACATTCCTCTCCCACCCTCTGGCTATTGTTCTGGCTCATTTGTGCTTTCTTTTCTGTTAAATAATGTATGGTCTGGAGGACCGGGGGCCAGGCTAGAGATGCATATTGCAGTTTCATAACATCTTAAGTGCTTGTGTTAATTTTTCACTCCTTCCTCCTCTTTCCCCTCAACCTGCCATCTCCCATCGTGCAGGGGGAGAAAGATAATCAAGTTTCCCGAACTTGGCCTGAAGTCAGATGTGATTTGATTTGGATTGCAGACAGCCCGGGGAAGTGGCTGGGAGGCAACTTGGAGAGTTGGGCTCCCTCTGTGGCCTCGCAGGAGAGAAACCCTGACGCTGTGTTCGCATTCCCATGGCTGGGGGTGATCTCCGGTCTGTCTCAGCAGCCGGGAAGCCCGTAAGGTTTCTGCGCATGAAGGATAACCACATCTGTCCAAAAACTGCAGTGCTTCTGCTGGGAAAAGAAGGCTTTTGCTTTTCTTTTTCTGAACAGCTTAAAAAAACAGCAGTGACTGGATCTGAGTGGAAAAAAATTAGTGAAAATAAGACCCGAGTCAGATTTCTCCCCGCCACCCTTCCCAAAGCTGTGATAAATTTTACTTCTGCCATTTACCAGTGGGAAAGATTAGAAATTACTTGGGCTTGGGGATGAGAAGAGAAAAGAAAAGGAATTAGGCTTTTTTTTATTTTTTTCTTTTTTTTTTTTTTAAGACAAACACTTAAAAAATTTCATTTAGAAATGGAGAAAATACCCAATTGAAAAAAAAAAAAAGGAAAAAAAGGCTTTTCTGACTTATCCATTTTGATCAGCTCTTCCAATTTCTGAAGATGCATACGCCAGTGTCATCTAATTCCCTCTGATCTGCCCCTACCTTTTCAGGTGTATTGATCTGCTCTAGTTTAAGAAGCTCCCGACTATTGGAAAGAAGAGTTTATAAATAACTACAGAGAAACAGGATTCTGTATCACAGGAGTTCCAGCTGGGCTGCTTTTGTTTATCGCACAACACACATTTTTTTTTTGGAACTTTTCTTAACCAGGAGGTTGCAAAAGGAAGCTCAGCATGCCAATGTCACTGAGAATTGTTGTGTTGTGTTGTACTGTGCAAACGGTGTTTTCTCCCTCTTGGGATGGAGAGGTTTCTGGGTTTGTTTTTGTAGATAAGATATAAACTCAGTAGTGGTTCTGCTAGTAAATACAAGTAGCCCCAAGCTCCAGAATGCATCTTGTTGGTCCCTCCAGTAATTTGACAAAGTATCCTTCCAGCAACCTCCTGAAAGTACAACATGAACAATTTTGTTGATCCTTCAGTATCTGGAATAGTTGTGGGAAGGGATGCTGGGCTCCATCAGTAACTCTGCACAGTGGCCACTGACCTTCCAGCATTGGTGTGGGTTTTGGATGTCTCACCTATGTTCAGGAGCGGTCAAACCCAGGAATTAGATGTGGTACCAGGAGGGTGAGAATGAAGCTGTCTCTCTAAAATTGCCCCTGCTGGAGTTGTGACTACCTTTATTGGGAAGAGTATAGGAAAGCTGTGATCAAAGGGGGAGCTTCCATGCAGAGGGAAATTATTCAGATTGAGACGTGTTTGTTGAGTAGAGGGGCAGATGGGGATGAGTACAGAGGAGAGGGAGGTGATCAAACCATGTACAGTCCAGAGAGGAGTAGAAGAGGGGGCATGGATGGATTTGGATTCTGAGGGTTACCCAGTGGACTCATTAGGTAAAAGGTTTAAAGAAAATGAGGGGAAGTCCATTTTCCTGACATGCATAAGTACATATGTATTTCATCACCACGTCTTGCTGTGGAGTCCAAAAGGGGAGAATTAGAGGTGAAGCAGGACTAGATCATCATGGAAGGCAGATCCTTGGGGATGCTGGACGTAGCCAAAGGGTTTGCAACAAGAAGAGGGCCATAGATATCCCATCCCTCGTTTCCTTTTCCCTCTCCTCCCCTCGGCAAGGCTGTGGCCATGTTTCTGTGCCTGCTGTGTCCTCTTGTCTTGATGCCGGGGCTTGGAGGCCGGGAGCTGGAGGATGTGGTTTGACTGACAGCACTGTCTTTCCTCAGGAATGGATGTCCCAGTGTCTTCCCCCAGCACATCAGACTGGAGCCATGAGGGAGCACAGGGCAGGCGATGAAGGAAGGGCGATGATGCCACATCGTGATTCCCACCAGAAACATCCAGCCTCGGGGACGTGGAGGACACCACCAGCCCATGGGGCTGAGGCAGTGGCCTCGAGAGGTAAGAGCCATGTGTGTGAGCGTCATCCCAACTCTGAGATGTGAGGATGGTGTGTGGTGGCTGGGCAGGGGAGGCAGATCCTTTTCACCCCTCGTTTGGGCACTGTTTGAGTCGGCTGCCGTGGTCGGGCAGTGTGGCTGCGGGGTCATATTTGGAAGGCTTTGTCAGCAGTGCACACATGTTAATGATGTTTGAGGAGTCATTTCTGTGGGAGACCTGAGAGCCAGACGGCTCTGCAAATCAGCCCATTAGTATTTTTAAAAGAAAATCTCCATCCTATAGGAACTGCTTTGGCCTCTGGAGATGTGCTAGAACTGTATCCCAGACTGTACTGCATCCATTTCTATTACGTCTTTTCCTCTCTTCTTTTATCTACCCCTGTTCCTTCCCTCCTGGCTACAGCTTTCTATTGCTATCCTATCCAAAACACACTTTAGCTATTGCTTGGGAAGTTTGCACAAGGATAGGTTGGCGTTTACTTTTTCCACCCCCCCCACTCCGCTCTCCTTACTCTTTTTGAAGCTAATCACCCTGGTGAAATTGAGCTGTAATTCAGTTGGCAGTGGTCAGATTGAGCTGAACGTGTGTGCTCCAGCACATCCCTGGATTCTTTGCATCGACAAAAATGAGCACAGACAGTCACAGAGCGAAGGAGAGATCGCGTGGCCTTGTTTAAAACACACTCGCGCAGCAGCGTCAGCTGCCTGAACAAAAGCTGCCTGTCTCCTCTTTGGAGGTGGGTGAAAGAAGAAGTTATTTGGCTTGATGTGCACAGAGAGAGGGGGAGACGGCGTTCCCCCCCCTCCTCCCCCTGCCATCTGCAGCTGTGTGGCAGGTAGAGCTTGGTTTGGTAGGGAGGATTTATAGCTGTCGTGAGTCAGTCAGTGTGTCAGGGTAAATCAAGCCTGACGTTTTTAACATCTTCCCCACACAAAGGGAGGGGCAAGGGGGAATGGAGGAAGCAGTTGTAATTTTATGTCTATATCCTGCTCGACTAATCAAGGTGAGCAAGAGACATGCCAGCCAGGGGAGATTTTTCTCTTGTTAGCGTGAACGTTTCTTTGCTTTGGCTTTCCCCTTCCTTTCCTGGGCTACTGTAGCAATCTCCTCTGTCAGGAAAGAAAGATCCAGCTGATCGATGCTAGAGGTTCATAGACAAATGATTGTTGCTCCTCCAAACTGTCTCTTGTAGTATGTCTCTAATTAGGTAAGTGAAAACTCATGGCAAAACATGTTTTGGCAGAGGTTTGGCTACCTTTGACCCTGTGTCCTGTCTCCTCGCTCCTACTGAGACCCCAAACCCCGATGGCAGTGCTGTAGTGTACCATATCCTCTCCTGCCCTTCTCAGGAGCACCTTGCTCAGGTTTGACAGGCCTACAGGTGGGCTATGGAGAAAAGAAATATCTGCATCATACCTGGAAGGTAATTCCAGGGGATTTCCAGCAGTAGCATGGAAGAGTTTAAGGAAGAGTTGTCTTGGTATGCCTCTTGTCTTGCCTCAGGCATGTGCTGCTGCAAAGCCTCCCCGTGCCTTTACCTTGCTGCCAGCACAGGCTGCCTGCTCCCATACCAGGTGGGCTAATTCCCTCTGGTGAGCAAGGAGAGGAAAGGAGGCAAAACAAACACATAAGTAGGTGCTGCCCTTCCTCTGCCACAGTCCAGAGTATTGGTGTAACATATTAGGAGCATCCTGGTTTGAATACTGGGATTAGCAGAATGCTCTACCTTTTGCCAGAAGTGATGATCCAGTAGGCTGGAATACCTCATGGCAGGGGGCAGGGTCTCTCTGCAGGGAAAGACCTGGGCAGCCAGCCCATGGCACAGGTTGTCCTGAAGGTGAGTGAGGTGGATCATGCACAGTCCTGAGCTGGAGCTGTTGAGCAGCATTAAAACCTGCACGCTGGGTCCATGTGCCATCTAGGCAGGGCAGCATCGTTAAAATTCCTCGTGTGCACAGAAGTGGACTAAGTCATCAGCATAGGGCAGGGAGCCTCCGAGTTCTGTGGGCTTGTGCTGATTTACACCAGCTGGGGAACTGGGCCAAATCTGTCTCGTTCAGTGAATGATCATTCAATTTTTCTCTCTGCTATCAAGCCCTTAAACAAAAACCAATTGAAATCAATGGGAGACTTTCATCATTTTCAGGGTTATAGGCCTAAAAAAATTGGATGCTTGGGGAAAAAGCAGGCAGGGGAAGAGAAAGGGAAGAAGGAATAAATGCTGCTGTAACATTATGGCTTACAACGGAAACAGATGGGAGTGAGAAATGCTTTCGTTACGATTCTCCAGCAGCATCAATTCAGCAAAGCTGTACATGGAGATGTGAACACTGCAGAGCATCCTTCATTATGTAAACAGCTCTATGGGTGCAAAGGGAGCCCGTCCCTCTGTGAATCCTGTCTCTGCGTGTCCTATTTCTATATGTGATTAAGTTCTCTGCTCTTCCATTGCAGTTAGGGTTGTTATTAGTGGCAAGCACATGTTCCACAGGCTGGCTGTTCCGCACAGAAATGCAGGAAGAAGCGCTGCCTTCTGCTCCCAGAAACCAGCAGGATTTTTTTTCGCCGTAGCTGGAAGAGGGGGAGGTTAATATCTCGCCAGCCTCTGGCTGTGTTTTGATAAAATCCTTTGTCCAATGACTGCAAAGCATTTTGCACATACAGCAGGGTAAAGCCCCTTCAGACAGGTATTATCTGGCCTATTTTTACAGCTGAGAATTCGCAGCCTTCGGAGCCATCCGAAGGCACTGCCTTCACCTTGTGATCTGCTCGGCTGAATGAATATGTCAGGATCGGTCCTTTCAAACCCGGCCCCAGTTCGAACACAGCCCTCCAGTCCGTCTGGGCACGGTTAGATCCTTCCTCCCTCAGCCTCCCCATCCGTATAACAGGTGTGACAATCATCCTTCCCCCCGGGTAAACATTTCATTATGCGGTGCTGCTGAAGTACCTCGGAGGAGAGAGGACCTACAGATAAGTCTGCATTCTCATTTTGGCTGTATTTGTGTGCGTGTTTTCTGCTTTAGCTGCTCTTCTCTTTCTTTGCCTGCTCATTAGTTCTGCCTGAGTGCAGGACCTCTCCAAAAAATGCAGTGTTGGCAGCGGGCATGAATTCTTAACGACTCCTGTCTCTAATGACAGAATCCGGGGCCAGGCAGTCAGTTTGCTTGCTGGGAGAAAGGAGAGGCAGATGAGACAGTGGCTCTTCCCCTCATCGTGGGGTGAGTCTGCAAAATCACAGGAGGATCTGCAAAATATGCTCAGGTCTTGGCCTGCTTCTCATGCTGCAAGGAGAATTGCTTGGGATGGCAGACGGAAAGAGATGCCTCTCAGGCTGTTGAATTTTTTTTTAAAGCTCACTCTGGCCTCTCTCTCTCTCCTCTTCTACCCAAGCAATCAACAACAGATTTTGGATTTTCAGCCAAAGCTGAAAATCTTGAGCCTGACTTGCCCAGTGCCCTTTTGTGCGGTCCAGCTTAATGCAGAGGGAAGTATTAAATGGGGGAAAAAACCCACACAAAACAGCACAACAATCAATTCAAAGGAAAAAAAATGCCAAGGGTTCGATTTTTACCAAACAGGAGAAGGACTTCTCCTAATGAGGAGCTTAAAATTTATTTTTAGTAGTGTTTTTGTTGCCTTTCATTCCTATTCTGTCCTTGATTCAAAGTTTCCTCGACTTTTTTGCAAATGCAGCTTGTAACGTGAGTTAGCTTCTCTTTTCACTTTATTTTTTGTTTAGACCAGAAGGAAGTCTTGGCAAGTTATAAGAGGTAGAGGAAGGGAAAGGCATGTGAACCCTGCCTGGGTGCCATTCTTTCTTTTTCGTTTAATGTCAGGAATAAGAAGCAAGAAAGAAGAAAAAACATTCCAAATCCTGAGAGTTGAGTTTTGATTCTTAAAAGCCGAACCAAGGAAAACTAAATTTTTTAGTGGAGGTGAAATCCTGAATTTTCAGTTTGGTGGATTTGCGCTGCAATGTCGTCTGGTGGAATTGTTTTGTTCCTGATGAAATCTCAGTATGCGCTGAGAAAATGTCAAGTTAATTCTGTGCTGTCCAATCCCTCTGAAACGCTCTGGTTATTTCTTTCAGCTTGTCCTGGTTTCTGCTTTCCACCACCATCCTTGCAGATGCCTTTTCCCACTCCTACTCTGTTACATTAAAATTGCCACGAGAAGACAGTTTAAATGCCCATGAGGTGTTTCCTTCCTGGATGGACTAGTTGGGGTTGAGATCTTTGTGATTCCCAGAGCTGTTATCTCAAACTGCCTTCCATTTCACATGCTGATGCTGGAAAGTTTGCATTGTTTAGCTCAGGGTACCTCTCTCCACTTGTTATAATATGGAAGGGCAGATTCTGGCACTGGGATATTCCATGTGGCCCATGGAGGTCGGTCAGGTAGACTGGATCCCTTCCTGTGGCTTTGCAATAATGGAAGTTCAGCTTCCTTGGTGGCTTACTGTTCCTTGTAACTCAGATCAGTTAAATACATAAGTAAATAAATAAAATTAATGAGATCCATTTGGGGAATCTTCAGAACCACAGGCAGATCTTTGATTTGGAGGAAAGAGAAAGCTGGGAGGTGTCTTGCCCATGGATTTTGCTTTCTCTCTCAGTCCCTTCTGTACCCATGGGCCCAGGGAAGTGAACTGGTGTTCAGCCTGGTTCTGATAGACAAGAGCACGCTGAAACACCAGTGTCTTGTACTTCTGCTGATGGTCTTGACAGAGCTGTCTGAAAATCAAAGGATCTCTGCAATCTGGAGCTCCCTTCAGAGCTCTGGGAAAGCTTCTTCTACATAAAGTCTGTGATGGGACTGTGGAGATGTGACTTGCCCATCCCTGGACCAGAATGTTCTGCAGAAATGTGAAGCACCCTTGATGCTGCAGACCAGCTCTGGGATGAAATATCCAATATCCATTCGTAACGAGGTCTTTGGGGATCCCTTCTCCGTGTCTTGCTGGCAGGCAGAAGTTCCTTTCTTGTCCGTGTACGTCC